AATGTAGCTGTTTTAATGGGTGTTTCTGATCCGGTTAATGTGGAGATACTGAAAGTGCTGCTTCCTTGCCGGCTGCCATGTTGGATCCCCCAGTACTTCATTTTTTAATACTAAACTTTTACCTCAAAGTAAATGATAGTGAAAAATTTCTGATGTCTTCTACTTATTTTCATCTAATTGACATTGGCTTTATCCCTCTATGTGTGTGTGTGTGAGAGAGAGAGAGAGAGAGATACAATGTTATATGTATTTTAATCCTCATCCATGGAAGTAAGTTGCAGAGAACTGCATCCTCCTCAGTCAAGTAGTACAGGCTCTTTCTGAATTCTTAAAATTCCAGACATTCTCCTGGAACCCCACCACTTTGTATGTGTTTATTTGTCTGAGAATGGATCTCACTATGTTCCCCATCCTGGTCTCAGGGGCTGAAGTGTGTTCAAGCCTGTCCGTTCAAGCCTCATTCCCAGGGCTTCCAGCCCCCATTCCCATCACTCCTCTATTCCTGGAAATAAAAGTGCATGTAGGTCGGACTGGTGCATTCAAGAGCATGTTTTCATAGATGATGGTCATTCAAAAGCTATTGCAAGTTCTTGATCAAAGAACTGATACAATAATCAATGTGTTCAATGTCTTTGAGGAGGATTTGCTGCCCGATGGTTGCTGTAGCATCGCACAGAGAAATCGATTTTCATATTATCCAGAATATTATTTCATCTTCTTTTCCTCCTCTTCTTTCTCCTCTTCTCCTCCTCCTCCTCCCTCCTCTTCATCCTACACCTCCTCCTCTTCCTCCTCCTTCTTTTTCTTCTTCCTCTTCCTTTTTCTGGTGGTAAATGGCACATGACAAAATTTATTGTATTAATTCTTCAGAGTACAGTTTGGGGACATGAGTGTTTCACATTGTTGTGTGACCACTCCTATTAAACATCTCCAGCACTTTTCAACAATCCAGACCTAAACTCTCTACCTTTTAAATAGTGATTCCTAATTCCCATTTTGAATTTGCAGTACTTTTAAACATCAGTGAGGTTGGATACATAGCTTATCTTATTATGTAATAATGCCTTGGATTTTATTATTACTTTTGAAACACAAATTTAGAAAAGATAATACCCAATGTCATGAGAGATTATTTTCTGGCTCTGTCTAAAAAATTGGGGGAATGATGGAGGAGACCTTCTGCAGTCTGCTCATGTTCAGATCCCATACAAATTGTAGAAGTCTCATCCATCTTAAGTTAATAGTGCTTGAATAGTTCTGAGGCACAGAATGAGTGTGCAATCCCATTTCTCCTCAGATGCTCTTCCAGGTTAGCAGGTTGCTATAGCATCTGGACCAAAAATGTCAGCCCCCATTTGTCTGGTGGAAAACAACAATGAGCAGCTGATGGTGAACCAGCAGGCTATATATTCTTGAGAAGATTTCTCGGACAGTGGTAGTGGCAACCATTGTTGGATGGACTGGATTGGTGCTATTGAATATCTTTTCATATTTCTATCAATCAGCCATTTGTATGTACGCTTTTGAGAAATGTATACTCAAGTTATTTGCTTATTTGTATTGGTTACTTGATTTACTTTGCTACTGAGTTACATGAATTCCTTACATGTTTTGAATATTAACCGATTTCCAGATATACAGTTTGCAGATTTTTTTTCAGACTGCAGTTACCATTTCACATAGTTGGTTGTTTTCTTTCCTGGAAAGCTGTCTAGTTGGATGGTGTATACTTGTCCAGTTTTGCCTTTGTTGCCTGTGCCTTTCATGTCATATCCATACATGTCATCACCAGAGCAATATCAAGAAGCTTTTTTCCTATGGAAATGAAGCATTGGGGCTGGGGATATAGCTCAGTTCGTAGAGTGCTTGCCTCACATGCACAAGGCCCTGTGTTCAGTCCCCAGCACCACAAAAAAAAAAAAAGGAGTCATTGTGCTTTTATGGTTTCAAGTCATTTTATGGCTTTATTGTTTCAAGTCATATTTTTCCTTCTATCTAACTGAAAAATTCCCACCCTGGTAACCACCACTCCACCCTCTACTTCTGTGACTGCACCTTCTTTAAGTTCCACATACAAGTAAGGTCAGTTCATCTGTCTTTCTGTGCCTCTCTTATTTCACTTCATGTCCTGCCAGGTCATCTATGTTGTCACAAATGACAGGATTTCCTTATTTTTATGGTTATGTAGTTTCCTAGTTTGTATACTTACCACATTCTTTGTCCTTTCTTCCATCAATGAACACTGAGACTGATTCTATGCCTTGGCTGCTATGAATGGTAGAGATGTCCCTTAGGTGTACTTACTTCATTTCCTTTAGGACATACACACAGTAGTGGATTGCTGGATCCAATTTCATGTCTTATATGTAAGTCTCAAATCTGTTAGATGATTTTATCATGCTTCTGCCTGTGGATATCCAGTCTTTTCCACATCATTTATTGAAGAGACTAGTTTTTTTTTCCTCATTTTGTGTTCTTGGCATTGTTGTCCAAGATCAGTAGACTGTTAATGCATGGGTTTATATCTGAGCTCTCTTTTCTGTTCCAAGGGCCTATGTTTCAGTTCTGACATTATTTTCTGTATTATTGCTTGGATCATTGTAGCTTTGCAACTTATCTCAAATAGGAAGCATGATGCCTCCAGCTTTGTTCTTCTTGCTCAAGTCAACCTTCAGTGTCTTTGATGATTTTGTGTGAAGATTAGAATTTTTATTTCTTAAGGAATATCATTGGCATATTTTAGGCATTTAAAAACTATTCTCAGACAATGGTATGTACTTATCTAAATGGTATGTACTTATAGTTTGTTACAAAGTCCACTTCTAGGAAGCATGATAACTGGTTGTTTTTTTTTTTTTTTTTTTTAATTAGGGCCTGAGAAAAAGGAAATGGTTAATCTCCCTCACTTAAGATTCTTCTGAACATAAGTCACAGTTATTACATTTGCTCAAGAAACCAGCTTTATACACTTTTTATAGAAGTAATTTCTAGATTAAATTTAGACAAATGCTGTAATTTACAGAAACGAATCAGCCTGAGCTTAGGTGCCCTTCCTCACCTGGTGTCAACACTCACCTGCCAGCCTTCTTTCCTGCTCCCTGCTCCTCAGTCAAAGCAAATAACTCTATTTTCATTTCAAAGACTCCTGAAACCTACAATCTCTAGTTTTGTTTCTGTGGGTCTTTCTACCTGCAGGATATTTATTTCCTCTGCCATCATTCTACCAACTCTTTAACAGTCAATTCATGACTTCCAGGAAGCCTTCACATGTGTTTTCTCCAACTTTCATAGCTCTGTTCTTTCTTGGTAGACTTGTAATTCTTAATTTTTTAATTTTTGTAATTACAAAATTATTGTAATTTTTAATTTTGCTTCTTGGTTCCGCAGGCAGGCGATGTCTTCTAAAGGCTCCTTCAGTCAACAGACAGCAACAGAGAAATCCATCCTGCAGGCAAATAAAGCCCTCACTGATGGTAAGAAAACCATTGCAGGTACAGGGGCACGACTCCACTCCTAGGTGGTGGTTGGATTCCTGTAAAGCCCTCTGACAGGTCTGTCAGGAAGAACTTCCCAAAACTGTGAGCTTCCCCTTCTGTGGAATGCATGCTCTGCTGAATGTTTGAAGAACAAGGGGGAGTGGAGGTCCAACCTCAGCCTGATGGGCAGGACCTTTACCATTACTTTCTGAAACATGCCCTTGATGATGTGGACCTGTGTGAATTCTGTGATTTCCTACCCTGCCCTGCCCTGCCCTGCCCTGCCCTGCCTTTCAGATTTGGCTTGGTCTCTGAGCTCAGGATAGTTGCTGTTTCTTTCTTCCTTCTCTAAATCTTTCCTGTGACAGAGGAGTGGGCCAAGAAGGAGGAATCTGAGAGGGAACAGGAGCTTTCAAGTCAGAAACTATAGGAAGAGCAGCAACAGGTGGAGGCTCAAGAGATGTGTCTCAAGGAAAACCTGGAGCAACTGAAAAAGAAACTGGAGGAGAGAGAGGAGCTCCTGAAAAACCAGGACATCATGTTGGAGCACCAGCTGAATGTGGATGTTGCCCTGCTCAGTACTGCCTGATGGTTCCAGGGCCCCAGAATGAATAGGGAAGATTACACTCAACTCACAGAAGGAAAACCATGACCATTTGTTGCTTGTGATTCATTAGAAGCCCTGAATAATCACCCCCACCCCAAACCCACATCATTTTTTTTCTTAATATTCCTTTGAATTTTTTCTCCATATTTCAACTCTGGAGACCGAGGTCATATGACTCCTATAAATCCTTGGAGAATACAAATAGGATTTAAGCTGCTTTTTGAGAGATTTAAAATGGTCTAACAAGTATTTGGGTAAACAGATTTCCCATCAAGCTAAGGTCAATATGAGCAGCAATTGGTTTGCATTCCCAAGTCCCATGTTATCAAGATACCTATTCCTTATCCAAAACCCTAGGTAGATTCACACCAACATAAAACTGTTAGAAATTTCTGTAGTTAAAATCATAGGGAAGTGACAGCTTTTAAACTTGCTGCAATCTGCTCCAGGTTTACATAGCTGCCTGAGCATGCATATTGCATGGGAGGAAAGCTCTCAGATTCCACCTAGACATTATATGAGGACAGATTTCTAGATTAACTGATGACTTCCCATCATTGCTATGGTATGGAGACTATGCCACCCCACTGGGACTGAATATCTGTTTGGTCAGACCAGTTGGCTTTTCTTTTGGGAAGAATGTGAAATTGCTGTTTTTAACACTTTGGTTAGCACAGCAGCAAAACTGTAATGGTGGGCGAATATTAGTAAAGTTGGAAACTTCTTCCTTACAGTGTCTAGGTCTAACCCAGATGGTATTTTTATCTTACAATATCTTATAATTCATTTTCTTATAATAATGGATAAAACATTCTAGGGATATGAGATATTTTACAATGTTTTGACTAGTTGTGATTCTTAAGAATCCAAGTTATAAAATATTTAAGTCCCTTCCAATGTCTACTTATTTATTTTAGATTCAAAAGGATTTGCTTGAGGAAGGATTTAGGAAGAAATCTGAGGATATGAATGCAACAATTACTCATCTGCAAAGTAGAACTAAAGCTACAGAAAATAATAGTACTTCCTCGATTGCAGGAGCTTTGGATTCATTTGGTGATAAGCTGATTACAATATTGTCTGGTTTGCTAAATCAGTTGGTTACATTATAAAAGGATTTCCCTGGCTACAGAGATCATTAGTTCTTCTTTAAGAAATTCGTAGATCGTGATGTATGCTTTGGACTGTTTTGATGTGCATGGTTTTCATTTTCATACAGCAAAGTTTTAAACAACATAAAAAGTGCTTTCTAGAAAATATCGGTTCCTGACCTATATTAGATAAACATATTGCATGTATACATTGATGATGATGTTCATTTTAGGAAATGCACATTTGCAATGTTATACATATGCAAGAGGTCTTTTGATGCATTGATTTTAATGGCAAAAATTTAATTACTACTGAAATGTCTTCTATATAAAATTGGTACTATAAATTTTAATATGTGCTGATATTGCAATAGCCATGAAACAAAATATCATGGAATTCTATATAGCCTAATATAGAATGATTTTAAAAACATAATGTGAGTTTAAAACAATGTCTGAAACAGTATATATACTCTGATCACTATTAAAAATGCAATTACATGCAAACTATGTATGTACAAATAAAATATCTTGTGAAAGATTAATGAGAAACTAGTATCATTGGCTCCTTTGGGGGAGGACTTAGTGGAATCAGGGGTTGAAGGGACAAGTACTTTTCATTATGTACTTGATTTTTTTGAACTTTGTAAAGAAAACTTGTATCTAGTTATTTAGAAATAAATTAGAAACTTTAAACTCTTATAGTAGTAATGATAGCAATGAAAGTGAATTTGACCACTGTATAATGAACTAAGCTCATTATTTCAAGAAATGACATCAGTCAGCTCAATGAAGGATGTAAAACTGCTATCTGAGTACTAGAAAGCAAAACATTTGCATCCTAATCCTATTTTCAGTGTGACTGGGATTTTTAACCCCTATATTTGTTTCACAATTGAGGTAAAAACTTTTCTGTGACTTTAGAAATGTTAATTAAATTTCTTATCTCTATTTCCTAATTCTGAATTAATTTTAAGTTGTTAAAAGCACAATGAACACATGTTAAGAATGTACATGGGCTTGGTGCAGTGATACACACTTGTAATCACAGCAGCTGGGGAGGCTGAGGAAGGAAGATCGTGAGTTCAAAGCCAGCCTCAACAACTTACTGATGCTGTAAGCAACTTAATGAGACCCTATCTCAAAATAAAAAATAAAAACTGGATGGGATGTGACTCAGTGGTAGAGCACTCCCAGGTTCATCCCCCCGTACCTACCCACCTCCCCAAAAAAAGGGAAAAAAAGAATGTGCATGAGTGAAGAATCTTGGCATCTTTGCAAACTCAGTGGAGCTCTCTATAGTGGTAGGGCAGAGGGAACAGTGACTTTTCACAACTGGACCTCTTGATGGAGAATGATAGGGCCTGACACATGGAGGCCAGGTGTTGGCCTGAAATGAGCAGAATCCAAGCAGACACAGGTATAGTAATGAGCTGCTGGGCTTGTCCAGTGAGAATTCTGAAGATGGGGAATGGAGTCTCTTATGGTTTGGATATAAGGGGTCTCCCCAAAGCTCCTGTGTTAATGCAGGAATATTCAGAGGTGAAATGATTGGATTATGAGATCTAAAACCCAACCAGTGAAGTATTAATACTTTGTAAGGACTACTGTACTGGGTAGTAACTGCAGGCAGGTAGATAGTGGCTAGAGGAAGTACATTCACTGGGGACAGGCCTTTGGTTTTTATATTTTGTTATTTTTGTCCCTGATGAGTGGATAAATATTTTGAAGTAAGTCCTTGACTTATTTTGGAGGAGAATAAAGGTGAATAACTTTGAAGTTGATGATTCAAGGATGAATATGGCCAATTATAATTAATTCAAGAACAGGGAAAGTTAAAATTTCCATACAGAGAGATGTAAAAGTTATCTTCATATATTTCAGTAATTCAGACAAAGAATAACAGATCAAAAATATCAGTAAAGTTAGAATACTTTGAAAATCATGATAACAAGTGTGGCCTAATGTAGTAATGTAGTACATGGCACCCAACAACAGTAAAGTATTCATTCTTTATAAGCACACTTGGAACCTTCATATAAAGTTTACATGTATAAACCACAAAGCAGGATTGGTAGTGCCTTTTGTCAGATTCTCTAGAGGCAAAGCCTCAGGAACAGATTCTTGTCCAAGTGATTTGTTGAGGGTGCCTAAGGGAGACAGGAGAGAGCAGGAAAATAAAAACAAAACAAAAAAAAGATTGTGTCTCAGGTGAAATTACCTTATGCCTGATCCCTTGGGACCCTCTGTAGCCCAAATAGCGCCTGAATTAGCCCTTCCTTAAGGCAAAGGAGCTGGACATCTGTACCCACATCAGTCAGTCAGAATCTGAGGGCTGTCCAGTAGGGAGAGGCTGGGTAAGCTCCTGGCAGAGCAGCTCCCATTTAGTCAAGGGAATTTCTCTGGAGGAAGGGGCAGCTCTGAGCCCCACCAATGAAACTCCCAGAAGTGGAGTTATGGGTTCAGTGGCTTGGAAAGGGGAATTTGGGTGAGATTCTAGTAAGAGACAGCAGCAGTGAAAATATTAGCAACAGATGCATCATGCCAAGTCCACGCAGGCCACACCTAGCACCACTGGGGTTCCTGCATCCTGACAGCCCATGATGTAGACCCAGAATCTCATCTTAGCATCTTAGATTTCAGACCTCTCCTGATAAAATCAACTGCTGATTGGATTCCCCAGGAAGCAGATCATGAGATTCACATTTGCATTTAAGGTTTTTATTAGGGAGCACTTCTGAGATGAACACTCATGCAAGGGTATAAAAGATGGCACTGTGAAGAAGAAGCATTCAGTCCTGATGTAGACTCAGTAATGGCTTCACCAACCCCATAGGAAGGCTCTGGAGAGCAGAGAGTGCAGTCAGAAAACGTGGAAAAAGAAGAGACCAATTCCCTCGAAGCCTGCCACCTTTCTTCTTCAGACAGTCTGAAGGAAAGGCTCAAAATAGAGTTGATTTTGGTTTTTTTTTTATTTTTAGGAGACAATATGTGTCAGGACCATAGAATATAAGATGAATGGAGAAGAAAATAGAAATGTGAGAGGCATTCACTGTGATAATTCTATTTGTAATTTTAAAATGGAGCCATGTGTATTAGTCATGGAGAAAATGAAGCAAACAAATGTGTATCTGTGTGAAAAGAGCCCTAATCTATGAAATTAGCCCATGCAATTATTGAGAGTGGCAAGTCCAAAGTCACCAGGTGAGCCAGCATACTAGAGACCCAGGAGAGCCATTTTTCCACTTCTAGTCTGCATGTGGTCCATGATGGAACCAGAAAGAGTCAATGTTGGGCTGGGGATGTGGCTCAGGCGGTAGCGCACTCGCCTGGCATGCATGCGGCCCGGGTTCGATCCTCAGCACCACATACAAACAAAGATGTTGTGTCTGCCAAAAACTAAAAAATAAATATTAAAAAATAATTCTCTCTCTCTCTCTCTCTCTCTCTCTCTCTCTCTCTCTCTCTCTCTCTTAAAAAAAGAGTCAATGTTGCAGGAGAAGTTCAAAGGCAGGTTGATGGAAAATTCTCTGTTTGTTGAAGAAGTGAGTATTCTCCTTCTATTAAGATTTTAACAAACAGGTTAGGGAACACTCACATTCACAAATGGGGAATAGTTTGAATTATTGGTAGTCTCTTAGTGTAAATGTTAATCTCCTACAGAATGCCCTCACTGAAATACACAGGAAAATGTTTCATCAAACATATGGGTGACTGTGACCCTGCCAACTGAAGACATCAAACTAACCAACACAATGTGAATACAGGGTGTTTCACTTTAGTGGAGGAAAATATTTTTGGAAGGGAAGGAATTGAGAAGTCAGCATATTGGGGTGGTCATGTTGAAGTCACTGCGAATGACGACAAGAGTGGAGTTTAAAAAAAGAAGAAGACAGGTATTGAATACATTCACAATTTTGAGAAAAGAAAAGAATGGGTTTTGCCGAGGTTGTCAATGATAAGGCATAATGGATGTCAAAACTGACATAGATATTTTAAAAGGCAAAGAGGAAAAATAGTTGGGGTGGGAGAAAGCAAAAGAGAGAGAGAGAGAGAGACCTACATCATGTCTAGTTCTGAAATTATGAATGTTTTCAGAATGTATAGTATCTATTTCAGCTGATCGTAAGGGAAGCCATTGAGGGGCCAGCAAGTTTCTATTCCAGCCTGAATATGGAAGATACATTCAGAGAAGAATGTGGGATGTAGGGAAGATTGCTGATGACAAAGCGTGTTTCTAGAAGGACAGAAAAGGCATTCATAAAGATGGAGAAGTGTAGAAGACCAGCACAGGTGCAGGCAATGTGATGAGCTGAAGAGGGGTAAAATATGTGGAATGACAGAGACTTGGATTCTGTGGTGACAGAGTTGAGCACAAATATGAGATGAGCTGGGAATGAGCCTGGAATTGTCATATTGTACCATTGTTCAAGCCCAAGGTGACCAGTCTCCTCTCTGTTTAGTGCTTTTTGACAGCCAGAGCCCATGATGATGGAAGGCCCTGGTCTCTTCTGCTGTGAGGTACAGGCTGAGTGAGCAAGCAGTGATAGTCCTAGTGGCCTTCTCTGTCCTTCTCCCTCAGAGGAAGAAGGAAGTCTAGTCACATAGGTATGGAAAACTCTCGTTCTCCAGATTTCTTGAGTTGCAAAGTTCTGAAGAGGTATGAATCAATTTGTTTAAGGATCCCAAGTTAGTTGGGTGGAATAGAACAGCATGATTACAGGCTGCTTTTTTAAAGACTTGTTTCTTGGGGACTGGCCCTACTCAAATTCTCTCAGATTTAGATAAAACTAGATGCCCTGATGCAGTAGAGTGGAAAGGAGGAAATAGTATGTGTCTATAATATTGACAAAGTAGAAGACCCTAAAGGCTCATGTGGATTCTGATTACCACCTGCTAAGGTAGCTGAGGGTGGTGGCAAGATGCCATATTTTGGGAAAAATGATCAGACTTATTTCTGAAATCAAAAGGAAGTGAACAGCATGGGGGTTGTACCTCAGAAGTAGTGCCCTTTCCTAGCATGTGTGAGGCACTGGGTTCAATCCTCAGCACCACATAAAATAAATTAATTAAATAAAGGTATTGTGTTCATCTACAATCTAAAAAAAGGAAGTGAACATTAAGACTTTCTGCAGAGCTTTATTAAGAGGCAGTGAGTCCCTGGGCCAGCATTGTGGCTCAATGATAGAGCGCTTGCTAGCATGCATGAGGCACTGGGTTCGATCCCCAGCACCACATAATAAAATAAACAAAATAAAGGTATTGTGCCCATCTACAACTAAAAAAAAAATTAAAAAGGAGGCAGTGATTCCCAATGAAACCAGCATGGTGATCGCCTAGAGTTGGAAGAACTGTCCATGACAAACTTTTACCAGCATGTGTCAGTGATCAAAACACTTCTTGGTGTTCAGACACAATACTGGCCTTATTTGAACTGAATTTTAGAACCATTATGCATTTTGGAAAATTAAACTTTATGGTAGGTAAATAATTTTATAGTAATAGGAATGAATAATCAAGTCATTTGAAAGAAGATGTGAGTTTA